ATTTTGTTTTTAGGAAATGTTACGGTTTTAGGGTTTTTGAAACTAAGTATTCGATAATTTTTTATTATAATTCTGTAAATTTTGTAAGTGCTGATGATTATTAGTTTCGACAATTATCAAACTTAGAAAAAGTCAGAAATCTTGAAATTTCGAGCATTTCTAAGACTCATGGAATTCTGGTGATTTTATTTATTTAAATTACCAAGATTTTTGCAGACTTTCAAGGTTTTAGAAAGTTGAAAAATACTACAAAATTATGTTTTTTTTAAATTTTAAAACATGAAATTTTAGAAACATTTTGAGTATTTTGAGAACTATTTTTTTTTGTTTTCCATAGCTCTAAAATTCAGATCTCACAACTTCTTTTTAAGGTCTTGAGTGTGCTGAACATTTTTGAAAACTATGGAAATTCTGAGGATTTAAAAATTTATGAGAGTTTCAAAAACATTTATGGAATTTTTAAAAAAATTATGAACTTTTTAAATTTCTGATAATTTTGTAAATAGTTAGAGTTTAAAAAAATGAAATCATTGAAGCTTCGTGTATTTCTATAATCTGAACATTTATAAAATACTGAAAATTTCAGTAATATTGAAAGATCTGAAAATTTTGGTAATTCTGATTGCCGAAAATTCCGAATATATTCTAAGAATCTTGAAAGATCCTCAAAACTCTGATGATTTCTCCTTGGATTTTAAACAAACCGTTCTTTGAGAAACATTCAAGGGTGAATGTAATAGTTGTTAGCACAGGTTTTCAATTTTTTAACTTTCAAAGTTCTCAAGATTTTCAAAATTTGCAAGTTTTGAAATAAATAATAATAATAAAATACTGCAAAATTATTTATTTTGGAAATTTCAAACTCTTGAAATTTTAGAAACAACATTTTGAATATATTTTTGTTTTTAAAAGTTCTAAAATTTAGAAGATCTTACAATTGCTTTTTGGGGTTTTGAGTGTGCTGAAAATTTTTGAAAATTACGAAAATTCTGAGGATTTGAAAATGTAGTGAATTTTTGAATTCCTGAAAATTTTGTAAATTTTTAGAATTCTAAAAAATTATAAATTTTGAAAGCTTGACAATTCTAAGAACTTCAAGTAATTTCAAACGATCTTCAAGAAAACTCTTCGCATCTACACCGGTATGTCAGAGGTTATTTAAAAATATTTAAAATCTTGAAAATTGTTTAGCTTTAGGTAAATTTGAAGATTTCGGAAATTCTTAAAATTCAATAACGTTTCATTACTTTGAAAATCTTAAAAATGATTGTCACAAATATCGAAGATTGCACTTTGTGTATCAAAATCTTTATGACCTTTATAATTTTTATGTTTAGGGATTTTAAAAAAAATATTTAAAATCTTGAAGATTTTGAAACTTTAGGTAAATTTGAAGATTTCGGAAATTCTTAAAATTCAAAAACGTGTCATTACTTTGAAAATCTTGAAAATGATTATCACAAATATCGAAGATTGCATTTTGTGTATCAAAATGTTATGAACTTTATAATTTTGATGTTTAGGGATTTTTAAAAAAAATATTTAAAATCTTGAAAATATTTAAACTTTAGGTAAATTTAAAAATTTCGAGAATTCTTGAAATTCAAAGAAGTATCAACTCTGAAAATTTTAAAAATTTAGAAGGTTCTGGATAGTCTTGTACTTTTTATTTTTAGGAAATGTTACGGTTTTAGGGTTTTAGAAACTAAATATTCGATAATTTTTTATTATAATTCTGTAAATTTTGTAAGTGCTGATGATTATTAGTTTCGACAATTTTCAAATTTAGAAAAAGCCAGAAATCTTGAAATTTCGAGCATTTCTAAGACTCATGGAATTCTGGTGATTTTATTTATTTAAATTACCAAGATTTTTGCAGACTTTCAAGGTTTTAGAAAGTTGAAAAATACTACAAAATTATGTTTTTTTTAAATTTTAAAACATGAAATTTTCCATAGCTCTAAAATTCAGATCTCACAACTTCTTTTTAAGGTCTTGAGTGTGCTGAACATTTTTGAAAACTATGGAAATTCTGAGGATTTAAAAATTTATGAGAGTTTCAAAAACATTTATGGAATTTTTAAAAAAATTATGAACTTTTTAAATTTCTGATAATTTTGTAAATAGTTGGAGTTTAAAATATGGAATCATTGAAGCTTCGTGTATTTCTATAATCTGAACATATATAAAATACTGAAAATTTCAGTAATATTAAAAGATCTGAAGATTTTGGTAATTCTCATTGTCCTAAAATTCCGAATATATTCTAGGAATCTTGAAAGATCCTCAAAACTCTGATGATTTCTCCTTGGATTTTAAACAAACCGTTCTTTGAGAAACATTCAAGGGAGAATCTAATAGTTGTTAGAACAGGTTTTCAATTTTTAACTTTCAAAGTTCTCAAGCTTTTCAAAATTTTCAAGTTTTGAAATCATATATAATATACTAAGTGACATATAAATCCGAACACCCAGTTTAAATGGTTTTATTTTAATAAAAGTTTCATCTTACTGTAAATAACAAGTGAAAAAATTTTCAGCCTTATCAGTTGGACATTCCGGTTTTTATACTGCTTTTTTTAAATTCACTAACGCTCTAAAAATGAATATTTCAGCCGCAGTAAAGAATGGCGGATTTTGGTTATTGACATTCTTTACGATCGGTTACGATGCCTAGAGTACGGAGACCTGTACGAATTCGTCAACTGAGTGAGTTTGATAGGGGCCGTATAGTGGGACTTCGGGAAGCTGGACTTTCTTTTCGGGCAATTGCAGTTAGAGTGCAAAGAAGTGTAGACACTGTGGTTAGGTGTTGTCAGGCATGGCTTCGAGAAGGTCGTACGCAAAGAGCAAGGGGCACTGGACGCCGCCGTAGAACAACAGACCGTGAAGATCGCCGACTAAGATTATTGGCCTTAAGGGACCACTACCAGGTCCATTGCAAATGAATGGTTTGCAGAACACGGAAGACCTATTGGCATGCGAAGTGTTTACCGACGAATGAGAAGTTTTGGCTTGTTTTCATACCGGCCACACTAGGTCCTCCCTTTAACTCGAGAACACTGACGTAATCGCCTTGAGTGGTGCAGATAACGGTCACTCTGGGATCAGGAATGGAACAGTATTGTCTTTAGTGACGAGTCTCGATTTTGTTTAGCCATGCACGATGGTCGTGCCAGGGTTAGAAGGCGACGTGGTGAAAGGAGGAATCCACAGTTTTTTGTTGAAAGACATGTTCATCACACTGTTGGAGTTATGGTTTGGGGTGCTATAGCTTATGGTTCCAGGTCACCTTTAATCTTCATCAGAGGTAACATGAACGCGCAGCGTTATATCCACGAAGTTCTAGAACCCCATCTGTTACCCTATCTTGACACCCTGGCAGATCCAACTTTCCAACAAGATAATGCACGACCACATGTTGCAAGAGTCACAATAGACTTCTTTCAACATAATGATGTCACATTGTTACCATGGCCACCAAGATCTCCCGACTTATCCCCAATTGAGCACGTGTGGGATATGATGGGTAGGAGATTGCTCAATTTGCAACGTCCTCCTCAGACTCTAGAAGCACTTCGAGAGGAGTTGGTGGTTGCCTGGAATGAGATACCACAGGAGGACATTGACCACCTGATCAGAAGCATGCCTAGGCGCGTTGGAGAATGCGTAGCACATCAGGGTGCATCCACACATTATTAAAGGTCAAAGGGCTTTAAAGCAGTGCAATCATTTTGAAATTTTTATCATTTACTTATTATGCTTCATTAAGTACTTATACAAAATTTTATTAAAATAAAACCATTTAAACTGGGTGTTCGGATTTATATGTCACTTAGTATAATAACCTTTATTAGTTCCATCGACCATCAGTCGATGGTATCAAGCATGTCAGAAAAATGCAATATAGTAGGTATGACACTTTAAAACCAACGAATTTAAAATCAAAAATACTTGTACAACATACTAAAACCAATGCATAAACTATGACAGATAAGCATGAATGATCAAGGTTATTTAAAAATCATAAGGAAGAAGAGAATAAAAACGCAACTTATAAAAGGCACTAGCACAAAACATATTATGGATAATGGGTCATAGTCAATATGCCAAAAAATTGAATATGATGCTTTCCTCAACAAAACTTCTCATGACACCAAATCAATCCTATGATTAGTTTCTGAGAAATAGGGGGAGGAAGTTTTCCCGATTTGCGAAAATGATGAATGTGTCGATTGTAGTCCTCGGATCAAATACGCAAAAGTTATTATACTGAAAAAGTATTTCATTGGAAAACCTTTAGAAAGAGGTGTTGGGATGCGTCTTGTTGAGCTTAGCTATTATCCTTACATGGTTGAGTTAAGGACAAGCTTAACTTTAAAAGTTGTCACTAAAATGGATTTGGCATTAGCACCCCCATATACAGGGTGTTCCTTCATGATATGCGAATATTTAAGGGTATGAATTTACATGAAAAACTAATGTTAGTTTGCTTCATAAACTGTGGTTCAAAAATGTTTTCTTACAAAACTCGTGGTGTTGAAGTTTTTGGAAAAAAATGGAAATTAATTAATATTTTCAGAACCGCTTCAGATATTTCACTGATATTTAGTACGTAGTGAAAGTTAATAAAGTTGGATATTTTTCAATGCAAAAATAATGTTTAGCTTTAACAGCGGTGTGTGTGCGGGTATTGACTTCGATATTTGAATGTCTTTTCAGAGAAATTTAAAAATCAATTCACCATTTATAATAATAGGATTGATTTGGTCGGATGAGAGCCTTTGTTCAAGGTTCTTTGAGATACCTACCTCAAAAGCGGTTAGTCTTAGGCCAAAGCCTTTTGAAGAGCGGAAGAAGGCAAATAGTCCTCCAAAGATCTACAAAAAAAATTTGCGTTCCTTTATTTCAAACATCGGTTCCATATTTCAAATAACGCTGTAGCTTCAGTCGTCTTCAGACTTTGATTCGCTTTATCTTATCATCGCCTCTTTTTTTTAGATTCAAGCAACAAATCCGAGCTAAAATATAAACAGGACCTAGATCTGTTCCGCTCTGTCCTCGATGGATTTCCAGACAAAAACGAAATTTGGAAAATTGTTGGGAGCGACATCAGCCTTCTGCCGAAACCCGAAAGTACGATAGCAGAACTGAAGAATATTGTAGACGCTGCCATGTGGGAACCGTAAGAAATTTATTAGTTTTTTGTTATTATAAAGAATTAAAGAATGGCTTCTAAAGAGGAATATAACTCTTCTATACCATTTTATCACAATTTTGCGAATTGAAAATACAGGGTGTCCGCAAAGTTGGAGTTTTCCTTTTCAGAAACAACTACCCTTGAAATAACAAAGGTAATGTGTAGTGAAACGAAGGCGACCAAGTAAAAAAAAATAAAGGAAAAAGTACTCACTCTCCAGTTGACGAGAAGGGCTAAGTACGTCTCTGCCCGAAATCATACCGCTCCAACAGAAAATGAAATCAGCTGATGCGCTACCGAGCAGACGCCGGGCGGTGGTGCAGACCACGGACAGAGGTAACAAATATGACCATCGTGCAGAAACCACATTGATTGTCTTACACTTAATGGCACATCTTCTAACAAGGAAGGCAAAATGTTGCGTAAAAAGTCTAGGTATTGCATCCCGTGCAATCGATTTGGGAGAATAAATGGTCCAATGAGCATACCGTTTACCATGCCAGCCCAAACATTCACCGAAAATGTTTGTTGAAAATGTGCCCGACGGACAGCGTGCGGATTTTCTACTCACCAAACATGAGTGTTGCGAAAGTTATTCACCCCATTACGCGTGAACGTAGATTCGTCTGTCACCAATATGCACTTCAAAAAGTCCGGACTATTGTCATGTTGATGCAAGAACCACTCAGAAAACCGCATTCTTGCTGGAAAATCATCAGGTTGAAGGGCTTGTACACGTTGGACGTGAAACGGATACAGCCCCTCTTCACGCAGCGTTTGCCACACTTTAGTTTTTGATACTTGCACTTCTCTAGCCACATCTCTAGTGTTTGTTGTTTTTTGAAACGCAATCGATTATACGGGTTCGTTTACCTCAACCGTCGGTTGAAGGTTGCATACTGGCCTGACACACTGACCCCGACCCAGTTCTGTCGTCGGGTTGAGCTAGTGTCCTAGTACCAGTCGGGGATGTCGCGAGTCGCGGCTACAGGACGGTATTCAGATATGTTTGATGTTGCAGAGCCCTTTATCTCGGTTCCCTTAAGACATTGGTGTATATGGTACAAAGAAAAATTGCTTATGTTTTCAAGATCTACACGTCGTGTAAAGGAAAACCCCAACTTTGCGGACACCAATCAAAAATGCCTCCATCTTCTTTAGCAAAATTCTAGATCCAAGCACCTGCCAATTTCTTCAGTAAACACAAAATTTAAACTTGAACTTCATTCCATTTACAGGCGTGAAATCACGGAGACAACTTTTCCAGAGAAAGATGGAGCATCCAAGATAATCCAGAACCAGAAATTAGCAAAAACTGGGGTCAAGGTTTGGACATGTGTTCCAAAAGCGTCTAGTCATATCACTTTTGCATCCGCTTTGATGTTTGCTGAGCAATTAGGGCAAGCAGCCAAAATTGGATACGATGTGGTCTTTAGGCAGCCGAGGATGTATGAACTCTTTGCGTCTACACCGGTATGTCAGAGGTTATTTTAAACACATTTAAAGTCTTGAAAATTTTGGAAACAAAACGTAAAATTGAAAATTTCGACAATTCATGAAATTTAAAAGTTTCATTACTTTGAAAATCTTGAAAATGTTTGTCACAAATTTCGAAGATTGCATTTTGTGTATATTGGAAATTGTGAATTTCAAAAACCATATAATTTTTTTTAGGGATTCCAAAAGCGTTAAGGTTTTAGAAATTTAGTAATCGGAAATTTTGAATATTTAAAAAATTTTGTAAATCGTAATGATTATCAGAGTTTTGACGATTATCAAATTGCCAAAAATGTCGGAGAGAAATTCTGATGGTTTTATTTTTTTTTAATTACGAAGACCTTTAGAGTTTTTGAAGGTTTCAGAAGGTTTAACAATACTGCAAAATTATTTATTTTGTAAATTTCAAACTCTTGAAATTTTAGAAACAACATTTTGGATATATTTTTTGTTTTTAAAAGTTCTAAAATTCTGAAGATCTTTCAATTGCTTTTTGAGGTTTTTGAGTGTGCTGAAAATTTTTGAAAATTATGAAAATTCTGAGGATTTAAAAATTTATTGGATTCTAAAAAATTGGAAATTTTGAAATCATTGATACTTTGTGTATTTCTAAAATCTGAAAACTCATAAAATTCTAAGAACTTCAGTAAGTTCAAACGATCTTCAAAAGAACTCTTCGCGTCTACACCGGTATGTCAGACGTTATTTAAAGATATTGAAAATCTGAAAAGTTTGAAACTTTAGGTAAATTTGAAAATCTCGGGAACTCTTAAAATTCAAAAAAGTGTCAACTTCGAAAATTTTTAAAATGTTTGTCACAGATTTCGTAGATTGCATTTTGTGTATCTTGGAAATTTTGAAACTCAAAATGTTTATGACCTTATGATTTTTGTTTTTAGGGATTTTAAAAGCTTTAAGGTTTTAGAAATTTAGTAATCGGGAACTTTGAATATATTGAAAATTTTGTAAAACACAATGATTATTAGAGTTTTGAAAATTATCAAATTGCCAAAAATGTCGGAGATCTTGAAATTTCGAGCATTTCTAAGATGTTCAGGAAATTCTGGTGATTTTTTTTAATTATATTATATTATTATTATATTAATTAATTATATTATATATTATTATATTTAGAGTTTTTGAAGGTTTCAGAAGGTTTAACAATACTGCAAAATTATTTATTTTGGAAATTTCAAACTGTTGAAATTTTAGAAACAACATTTTGAATATATTTTTTGTTTTTAAAAGTTCTAAAATTAAGAAGATCTTGCAATTGCTTTTTGAGGTCTTGAGTGTGCTGAAAATTTTTGAAAAGTATGAAAATTCTGAAGATTTAAAAATTTATTGAATTTTTAAATTCCTGAAATTTTTTTAATTTTTAGAATTCTAAAAAATTGGAAATTTTGAAATCATTGATGCTTCGTGTATTTCTAAAATCTGTACACTCATAAAATTCTAAGAACTTCAGTAATTTCTAACGATATTCAAAAAACTCTTCGCATCTACACCTGTTAGAGGTTATTTAAAAATATTTAAAATCTTGAAAATTTGTAAACTTTAGGAAAATTTGAAGATTTTGGAAATTCTTAAAATTCAATTCAAATGTCATTACTTTGAAGATCTTGAAAATTATTGTCTTAAATATCGAAGATTGCATTTTGTGTATCAAAATTTTAGGACCTTTATAATTTTTATGTTTAGGGAGTTTTAAAAAAAATATTTAAAATCTTTAAACTTTTTAAACTTTAGGTAAATTTAAAAATTTCGGGAATTCTTGAAATTCAAAAAAGTGTCAACTTTGGAAATTTTAAAAATTTTGAAGGTTCTGAATAGTCTTATAGTTTTTATTTTTAGGAAATGTTACAGTTTTAGGGTTTTAGAAACTAAGTATTCGATAATTTTTTACTATAGTTCTGTAAATTTTCTAAGTGCTGATGATTATTAGTTTCGACAATTATCAAATTTAGAAAAAGTCGGATATCTTGAAATTTCGAGCATTTCTAAGACTTATGGAATTCTGGTGATTTTATTTTTTTAAATTACCCAGATTTTTACAGATTTTCAAGGTTTCAAAAAGTTCAAAAATACTACAAAATTATGTATTTTGAAAATTTTGAAATTTTAGAAACATTTTGAGCATTTTGAGAACTTTTTTTTGTTTTCCAGAAGTTCTAAAATTCAGAAGATCTCACAACTGCTTTTTAAGGTCTTGAGTGTGCTGAAAAATTTTGAAAATTATGAAAATTCTGATGATTTAAAAATTTATGAGAATTTTTGAAAAAATTTATTAACTTTTTAAATTCCTGAAAATTATGTAAATTGTTAGAATTAAAAAAAAATTAAATCATTGAAGCTTCGTGTTCGTTTGAATGGTTTTTCATTTTATTTTTTTAAATTACCCAGATCTTTACAGATTTTCAAGGTTTCAAAAAGTTCAAAAATACTACAAAATTTTCAAACTTGAAATTTTAGAAACATTTTGAGTATTTTGAGAACTTTCTTTTGTTTTCCAGAAGTTCTAAGATTCAGAAGATCTCACAACTGCTTTTTAAGGTATTGAGTGTGCTGAAAAATTTTAAAAATTATGAAAATTCTTAGGGTTTAAAAACTTATGGAATTTTTAAAAAAAATTATTAACTTTTGAAATATTTAGAATTTAATAAAATGGAATCATTGTAGCCTCGTGTATTTCTATAATCCGAACATTTATAAAATACTGAAAACTTCAGCAATATTGAAATATCTGAAAATGTTGGTAATTCTGATTGTCCTAAAATTCCGAATATATTCTCTAAGAATCTTGAAATATCCTCAAAACTCTGATAATCTTTGAAACATCGAAAATTTTGGAAACTGGAAATATTGGATAATTTGGAAATTTCTAAAATATCAAATTTTGCCTTTGTTCACTTTTAGGTGTTCTGGCTGTCAGCACTTCACAAAAAACTGATGGGTACCAACGTACTGGAGGCCAAGACATCTACAAGTCAACCTGGTGTCGACGTCTTCGCGCACTGTTCCAGAAACCAGAACAGCTTCATCAGAAGGGGCGCACTCACTCTGATGACAGTAAATCGAAACAGTGAAGAAGTGATGTTCAAGGTCAAATTTGGAGTAACACAAGCTGATAAAACTATGGAGGTTCAGTACTACATACTGACTGCACCTTCATTAAACTCTTCGTAAGTACTTTACGGCTGCCAGAATTACTGTTGAAAATAATTTTAATTTTTTGTTTTTTTTCTTTTAGAGACACGTTTTTGAACGACAATCTCCTCACTCCAGAGATTCTCGCTGAGAAAGATCCGTTCAAACCAAAACTTCGCAGAGCAAAAACCCCATCCTTCATCGCTTTAACAGTTCCACCAAGATCCATAGCCTTCTTCGTTCTGCCTGGAGCCAAAGTTCCAGTATGCGTTGAAGACGAGGTTGAAACCAACATGCTTCTGGAGGAGATAGAAGAAGACCAGAAGGCTCTACTGTCTGAAGAAATCGCGTTGAAACTCGGACCTAGAGGATCGTTCGGAGGAAATTTGGTCCTGGAAGAAATTACCAAACAGATCAAGAAAGAAATGGAATCTGATGAACGATACTACAAAGACAAATTCACGGGAAGAATGGTTGAACCAGAAAACGAGTCCAAAATTGAAGCAAAAGAAGATGAAGGATTGGTGAATAGAAGAAGGAAATACTTCATTGATAGAGCTAAATTGTCCGAAAAACGCAGGAAGACGCCCAGCTTTGAAAAGAAGAAAGACGATTTTAAAAAATTCTTACTTGAAAAGTCCAAGACAGCAAAGCTAGAAGATAAGGCTACCCCAAAAAGCACTCAAATGGATCTAACGAGTGATGAAGTTGAGAAAATCCTCAGAAGTAGAGCTAAGGCCAGAGCTTCTCAACGAAACATAGTCTTCACTGATACTGAACTGAATGCTCTGGTACACAAAGCCAAGAAGAGGTTCTACAGTGACAAAAGTAGAAGAAGAAGAAGCACTAATGAGTTGGAAGGTATCAAAATCAAAAGAGGCTTAGAAAATACTAATCAAATTGTTTTGAGCCGAATGGTTCATCCATATAATGACATTCAATATGTTAAATCAGAAGGGAAGCTTAAAAGTAACAGAATCAAGATACCTTTGAGAAACAAAAGAGACATCAATCAGCTAATGTTCCATCGAGTCACCAATGCAGATAACTTGATTCAGAACAAAGAAAAACGCGATGAAGCCAAGCAGACCAGAAGGAAGCTGCCTAAAAGCAAAAGGGACATAGAGAAGAAACGACTTGGAGTAGAACTGAGAAAGGCGGAGAAGAAACATAAAATTCGAGTGAAGAAACAAGAGTTGAAAGGTAGAATAAACGAGAAAAAAGGACGATCCAGAAATAAAAGAGATGTTAGCCTTTATGCCAGGATGCACAATAACCTGAAACAAGATAAAGTAGCTTTGAAGGAGAAATTGGAGCAGAAGCTGAACGATGTCAAAAGGTCCAAAAGAGGCACGGAAAGATTAGCTGAGGCAAGACAGAAGGTTCGTGCAAGAACGCAAGCTTTAAAAGATAGAATGAAAGAGACTTTAAATAATATCAGAAGAACAAAAAGAGATGTCGACGCAGAAGGAGAAGCAACCACAAAAGGAAGCGCTGATAGATTAGCTGAGACGAGAGAGAAGATGCGTGTAAGGCAACAAGAGGTAAGAGAACGAATGGATAAAATGAGAGAATCGATGAGGGAGAGGCTAAGTAGTCTTAGGAGGTCTAGAAGAGACATAAACATGGATATGGTGAACGAGCATGGCAAAAAGAAGTCGAAGAAGCAGAAAATTGTCAAGGAGGCGACCATGAGGATACCAGGTAAAACCAGCGCTGAAGTTCTCGCTGACATAGAGGCTGAAGAGAAGGAAAGTGACATGGAAGAACCGGTAAGTATCATTTCAAGTTTAGCGAACAATTTTAAAACCGTCTAAGTCATAGTAGCCTCACTCCTGGTTTAAACCAACTATAACAAAGTTGTATTTTGCTTCAAGCCACCGCCAGTAAAGACAGAGATCTTCGCCGAAATGGCGAAGGAAGAGGATGAAGAGGAAGAAGATAGCATGTTTGACTTAACGCCAGGCCGCAAAGACCCGGGACTATTCAAGAAAAGGAAGAAAGGAGAAAGCGATAAACCGCGAAAGCATCAACCCAAAACTGAAGACTTGCAGTTTTTGAGGGCTTCCGAAGAATTCACTGACATTGAGGATGATTATCCTTGCATTCACGAATTCTTCATGGGAAAACAAGCGACAACGCCGGCTCCAAAGAAGACGATTATGGAATTGGGCGAATATACCGCACAGAAAATCAAGGCTGGGAGAAAACAAAAGGTAATGTTGGCTACGAATGCTCCGACTAAATGAGAAAAAATGTTACCTGCATAGATGAAAATATGAGGTTAGTACGTTCCGAAAGCACAGAGTGGCGCTGATTGCCAATGGGCGTAACCAATTCTACGAGGGACCAACGATATTTTGTCTTTAATAAAATACATTAGTGTCCAAAAGACTTCAACAGAATATTGAATCGCTGAGAAAGAAAGATGTAATACTTGTAAGATTATTCAATCAATAAACTATGAAACTTGCCAAAAGAAAATCATTGAAAAGGGTTTGGCCAGGAATCGGCACTCTACCATTAATAAAGAGACATTCAAATTACTGGTTAATGATCAAAATAGTAAAAAAAAGGTTATGTGATTTTGGCACGTATAATAGACATCCATATTTTACCATTTAATTGAAAGATTTAGCATACATATTGATTGATAAGAAATACTCGAACATTATTAGATGACTAAAGGTAATCAATTTATATTTTTTAGCCTGGATTATGGGAAGAAGCAGCCGGATTCAGGAGAAAGCGAAAGATTCCTGACTATGACGACTTGAGCGTCGAACCACTGGAAGTACCAAAAGATTTAGAACGTCACCAAGATGTAAGTACCAAAAAACAAACTAGACGTTATTCAAATTCACAAACTGGTATAAAAGCTATCTGATCTTACATCAAATCAAAAGTACGGCGTCCCTTTGCCACGATTTTTTTTTATCAATAAGAAGAGATGGTGGGGTGATTTCCTCTTTCTTTTTTTAAAATAATTAGTGAATTAATAAATTACCATGAAAAAAAAAATTGAACATCCACCGAAACTAGTGGCTACTACAACAATTTACCATACACCAATCTGCGACGAAAAAAATAAACGATTACTTACATTTCCGAGCAGTTACTATTAATTTTGTTTTGTTTGTTCTATACTAAGTGACATATAAATTCGAACACCCAGTTTAAATGGTTTTATTTTAATAAAATTTTGTATAAGTACTTAATGAAGCATAATAAGTAAATGATAAAAATTTCAAAATGACTGCACTGCTTTAAAGCCCTTTGACCTTTAATAATGTGTGGATGCACCCTGATGTGCTACGCATTCTCCAACGCGCCTAGGCATGCTTCTGATCAGGTGGTCAATGTCCTCCTGTGGTATCTCATTCCAGGCAACCACCAACTCCTCTCGAAGTGCTTCTAGAGTCTGAGGAGGACGTTGCAAATTGAGCAATCTCCTACCCATCATATCCCACACGTGCGCAATTGGGGATAAGTCGGGAGATCTTGGTGGCCATGGTAACAATGTAACATCATTATGTTGAAAGAAGTCTATTGTGACTCTTGCAACATGTGGTCGGGCATTATCTTGTTGGAAAGTTGGATCTGCCAGGGTGTCAAGATAGGGTAAAAGATGGGGTTCTAGAACTTCGTGGATATAACGCTACGCGTTCATGTTACCTCTGATGAAGATTAAAGGTGACCTGGAACCATAAGCTATAGCACCCCAAACCATAACTCCAACAATGTGATGAACATGTCTTTTAACAAAAAACTGTGGATTCCTCCTTTCACCACGTCGCCTTCTAACCCTGGCACGACCATCGTGCATGCCTAAACAAAATCGAGACTCGTCACTAAAGACAATACTGTTCCATTCCTGATCCCAGAGTGACCGTTGTCTGCACCACTCAAGGCGATTACGTCGGTGTTCTCGAGTTAAAGGCAGTACCCAGTGTGGCCGGTATGAAAACAAGCCAAAACTTCTCATTCGTCGGTAAACACTTCGCATTCCAATAGGTCTTCCGTGTTCTGCAAACCATTCATTTGCAATGGACCTGGTAGTGGAGAAACGGTCCCTTAAGGCCAATAATCTTAGGCGGCGATCTTCACGGTCTGTTGTTCTACGGCGGCGTCCAGTACCCCTTGCTCTTTGCGTACGGCCTTCTCGAAGCCATGCCTGACAACACCTAACCACAGTGTCTACACTTCTTTGCACTCTAACTGCAAATGCCCGAAAAGAAAGTCCAGCTTCCCGAAGTCCCACTATAAGGCCCCTATCAAACTCACTAAGTTGACGAAATCGTACAGGTCTCCGTACTCTAGGCATCGTAACGGATCGTAAAGGATGTCAAGAACCAAAATCCGCCAATGTTGATTGTTTACTGCGGCTGAAATATTCATTTTTAGAGCGTTAGTGAATTAAAAAAAAGCAGTATAAAAACCGGAATGTCCAACTGATAAGGCTGAAAATTTTTTCACTTGTTATTTACAGTAAGATAAATACATTCACCAACTTTTATTAAAATAAAACCATTTAAACTGGGTGTTCGGATTTATATGTCACTTAGTATAAGTCAGTTAAAGTTGACATGCCTTTGGTCTTTGATGAGAAAAACACAAAAAGTTTTAGAAATCAGATTATTTTTGCTAATAAACCGAAAATTCCTGAAATGGAGTTCTGGTAGTGAAATCATTGATATCTTCATCGACACAATTGAAACAGAAATTTACAGAATAACGTCAAAAAATCGCTTTGCAGGTATAATTTGATATAACATGTGAAATAATTGTTGCGTGAAATATCCAAGTAAAAGTCAGTTCTAAAAACAAAGTAACCATGTAAACCATTTTTTTTTTTTGACAATGGAATAAGTTACAGAAACAAAGTGTACTTCATACATAACCAGGTGGCAAAAACATTTGGAACTCATATAAAATGGGTGACAATACTGTCAATAATTGAAGATAAGAGCGAAAAAATACGAGGGCAGTCCTATAAGTACGAGGGATGTCTTTTAAGTTTTGCATATGGAAAGTAGTAGTAGTTTTAAATGACTTTATTGTTTTTCGAAGTATTCTCCACGAAGATTAGTACACATCTGCATGCGCTCGAACCAATTTTCGAAGCACTTATTCCACTAGTTTGCTGGCAGATCCAAAACGGCATTTTTTAATGCGTCAACTGCTTCTTCTGGTGACTGGAACCTTTGACCACGCAGTCTGTTTTTTCTCAACAAAAACGCGTTTCCTGGAGGTAAATTTCTCTTAGGATAGTGGCGCCATCGGACGGTGAGGCTAAGTACTTATCGGACCACCCTCGTAGTAGTGTTAGTAATTTTACTCCACAGAATGTTCACAACAAATCTCCGATCGGATCCTAATAATACGCGACTTTCTTTCCAGGACCAACCAAAGTCGTCTGAAAGAGCAGGACCCCCAGAGAGACACATCACCAAGCGCGAGATCATCACCAAGAGGTCTTCCGAAGAAACAAATTTCCAGACTAGGTATGGTATGCCAAAGTCAGAAATCGCGAGACATTTATCTCACTTAAATCGCATCATGTCTTTTAATAAAAGCCCTGATATCTTGAAGAGGAGATCTAGGGAACCTGAGAACAAAGAACAACAAGCGCAGACATTTCCTTTGGTAGAAGTCGAAGAGAAAAACAGGAGAGGTATGTTGAAGCAACTTGATAAGCTGCGAAAGAAAATCCAACGAAGAAAGAACGATATCGACAAACTTTTGGCGAGAGAAGCTAAAAAATACGGAGAGATCTTCCCAGCAGAAGCAGAGAGACTGGGTAACAGTTTGCTATCTCAGTTTAGCAGAGATTTAGGCAAAGAACTATCAATCACGAAGGATTTGATCAGAACTCAAATTCCATTAGAACAAAAAATGAAAGAGTATTCTTACAAATTAAAGGAAATCGCAGATAGGAATGCAAAGCTTGGTGCTTTGCTAACTAGAGGCTCATACCCCAAACCACCTAGCTCTAGCGAAGAAATTGATGGAGCTAGAAGTAGAGCCACGTCCGAAGATCAGATAACGAAACAAATAGAATCAGAAGACCAATCTATGCATCATTCTGAAGAAACAGATGTGGGGAACGTATCAGAAAATCCAAAACCTAAAGAAACTCAAGAAAACAATAGAAAAGTATCACTAATATTGACTAGAACAGGTGCAATCTTACAGGCAGATCATGAACCGCCCTCAGAAATCAAACAGCCGACATTTAACAGTAGAATAGGGGTTGTAGAAGAAGATAAAGTATTGCACGAAGGACAAGAAAACCAAAAGAAAAAAGAAATTACAATGAAGCCACCTGAAGAAACTAACATTTCAAGTGATATGAAAGAAGGTCAAAAATCAAACATACAGCTTGACCTGGATCATCCAGCTTTGGCAGCAAGAATGGAAAGTGACGAAAGAGAAAAAGAAATAGTGAAAGACGTAGAAAATATGCAGACACCTGTGGAACCTCGTAAACAAGAAGAAAGTGTACGTACTCAAAAACGACACTCACATCTTGAACTAGAACATCCAATGTTCATATCAAGAATGGATGATATCTCAGATGAAGAAAGACTCAAAGGTCCAGAAAATGAACGAGTGACATCTGGAGAGCGACAGAAAAATAATTTACTGCTTCCAACTGAGCAAATTGAAGAAGGTTTTGCACATACACCAGAGCCCAAATTGAGCGAATCTTTTCCGCAAATAGTAGGCCAAAAACTCGATCATTTAACACGCGAAGAGCTAGAAAAACATGACTTGATGTTCCCAACTGAACAAATTGAAGAGGAAGGCCTTGCATATACTCAAAAACCAAAAGCTGTGCCAAAAGAGGGCAAATCCTTGTTGTTAGGAGCCCAAGAGGAAGTACCAGCGATACCGTCGGGAGATAGTGTGACCTTTGGACAGCATGTAATGGGACGTGAGACAGAAAACAGTCAAGATCATCAAGAAGTTGCACCTCTAGCACCAGGTGCTCCATTTTTTGAATTCGGAGATCACTTTTTCATTCCACCGAATGAAGAAAGCGAAGCACCAGAAAAACCTGAACAAATGTTGCCTAATGGAGAACACCCAGTCGCAGATCTTGGACAACATGATCAAGCATTATTTCCTCAAACTGTATTAGATCCCTCTATGCCAGAATTTGAACAAACACATCCGATTTTTTTTAGTAGAATGGGTGAAACATCGTCAGAAAACGAAAATACTAAGGCGCAATCTCAAGATAACACTCTCAGGAAGGAGCAAGGAACACTTCAGTCTCCTTTAGAGGAAAGCCAACAACAGTACATACATAAAATCGAAAATCAATTAAATGAACAATTGGAAACGCTCTTAGCAAGGCACAATGAACGACTTGAAACTGATGTAACTTTGGAACACCCCAAAGATACAATCAAGGAAAATCCAGAAGAAACTGTCACCACAATTGTACACCAAATGGAAGCTCAACATGCCTCAGCAACTGATGAAAATTTAGTCGAAACCTCGTCCAAAGAGACAGATCTGGTTAGATCATCTTCAGAGAATGACAGTGATGATCTTGGTGAATTAATGGAAAACGAAAAAGTTCCAACAACTTTGAAGCCACCACGTGTAGAAAAAACTCCTGAAGAAGTTGACGAAGAGAAATCTGCAGAATATATTGTTCACAACATACTGTCACAGATGCCTCAAGAAACTGAAAATTCTGGAACGGATATTTTCAAAAAATTCATTGAAGCGATGAAAGATCAAAAAGAAATTGATCCAGAAGTACAAGAGAACGATAAGTTACTGAGTGTGACTCGCAAGAAGCGATACATTATTGGCGACAAGCGATTTGGAAACTATCGGCCTCTAACCAAGAATTTGAAAAAATGGAAACCATCTGATATCATGAAGTTCAAAAATAACGCAACTTCTTTCAAAACTCTTAAACGTCCACCAAACGACTACCATATATTCAAGACCGCTTTGGAACATAATAAAGTAAAAGTCATCCGTAGAAGTGTGAATGATATCGAAAACCATATTGATCAGAGTGGCTTTAACAAAGGAATGTTTGACAAGAAAGTAAGGGACATTTTCAAGCCCAGCAAAAAATTCCAAAATAAAGATAAGGAGACAAACATGATTGTTAAGATGAAATTTGGGGAGAGTGATGAAAACGATAAGAAAAATGAGATAAGCACGACTAACAAATATGAGGAATTTTTGAAGAACACTGAAGGACTGACGAAAGATATTAAGGATGCTATGAGAAATCAAATAGATATTGTTGAAGATGAAGATGACAAAACTGGTCATGAAAATGGTATCGGCCTTCTTCAGGTTAACAACAATAAGGATTCCGTTGAAAACATCCAAAAAATTGAGAAAAATAAGGCAAAGACTAAATTATTTGAACGAGTTGTGTCGAATATCTCAGGATTTCTGACGAATATTGGCAAACAAGTAGGAATGTACGTTAAGCAAATCAATATTTAATTCTCTGAAATGTAAGTGAAAATTGATAGAATAGGTTTAAATGTAGTTATTTATTTATTTATTGTAATTGTACTTTTTCTATAAAATAAAGATTTTTTACTATATCTTATGGGATCTTCTATTTGAAACCAGGATCCAATACAGAACACACTTAACTGCACTCAACTGTAAGATTTTCAAAATACAATCACCATCAACATTTTTCTTTATTAACGATAAAAAATTAAAATATACCTAATCCAAATTCCAGGATGAACGACGTATAGTCAAAATCACGAAAGATGACTATTACGTCATACTATAAATTGTACTGAAGTAATTCAATGGACGTTTGTCGATGATAAAATCACTTCATTAAAAATATTCGCAAATCGCTGTCGTTTGTCTTTACTACAGACTAAAATGATGACGTGATCGTCATCTGTCGTGATTTCGACTATAGTCGACAAAGACGATGTTTTCATGTTGCATGATTCATCATATTTGAAAGTTGAATAGTTAGGTTATGTTAAAGCAGGTTAGGTTCTTTTCGAATAATACTTTGGTCTTTGGTGTTCCTGGCTTAAGGTATTCTACTCATAACCGTTTTTTTTCAAAACAAAAACACCCTACTAAAATTATTATTATTGTATCAATCAAAACCATGAAATAAAATGAAAAATAAAAATAATCAGTGAAATAACTTCGAAAATCATAATATAAATGTTTTGTCTTTATGTTCCTGACATCGTGATTTCATCATCGACGTACGTCCATTGATAACTTCAGTACAATTGATGGTATGACGTAATAGTCATCTTTCGTGATTTTGACCATCAAGCGAAAGCTATTTTCGGTCTGGAATTAATCAAATTAATCAAAAATCGGATGTAATTAGAGTTTGAAGAGTATTTTACAGCCAAAGTATTTAATAAATGTATGGGCAAATTCCAATTAATCAAGATCAAGTCAAACAGCAACTGCAAGTTGAACTTGACATTTTGGGAACATTGAAGACAAATTATCTTTCATTCGGCATATAATTTGAATCAAGGAGGTCGGCCAATCAATTGAAAAATAAAATATATATAAGTACCGAAAGTATACAATCATGTTAGTAAGAGCTTCTGTTAGAATGAAGTTATAACTAACATAAAATTGGCAGGAAACCATGAACGAGAATGATGCATGCAATTCATATTTAGAAAACTTAAAAAATTGAGAACCAAATAACTTACCGGAACATCATGGGGCGAACTGCGACAGAATGAGGAGAGCAGATGAACATTTTGTATATTTTAGACACAAACGAACTTTTCTAATCATTCAAAATCTTACTAACGTAAACTGTACAGTTTTCGCCTCAAATGTATAGTTCCTTCGTGAGCTTCAAATATGCGTCGAAGGATGGCGCCTCAGTAAACTTTCTACTGTCCTCTATCAGTAACCTACACTTGCTATACGAAGATACTTTGTCAGTAGATGGCAGCACCTTCACAAGGCAAGTTTGACTAATTTTCGAAACAAATCCAAACGAATCAAATACAAAAACACATCATAGGTATACATATCGATAGACAATTCGTTTCTTAGTACTTCACTTGGAATTTAACTATCTATTTTCTCGGGACTAAAAATTTGAAATCTTATTAATGTAAATTGTACAGCTTTCTTTTCAAATTTGTAGTTCATTCGTGAGCTTCAAGTATGCGTCAAGAGATGGCACCTTAGTAAATTTCCCACTGTCCTCTATTAGTGACCTACCCTTACTATATGAGGATACATTGAATAGTTGTCCGTAGATAGCAGCATCTACACAGCTTAAGTATGTCTAATTTTTCAAACAAATTTAAACGAATCAAATAAGACACAAACCATACAATAACATAAGTATACATATCGATATCCAATTCGTTTTTTACTAATCCACTTTTGAATTAGCGTTGCCCCTATTCTGTATTTTAAACGTCTAATAAGTTACTTCTGTATAAGCACCTAGCCAGAACAACTCGTGTAGCTATGCAGTTAATAGTTATATATTTAAAATTTAATAGTGATTTTATTTCATAAGCAAAGTCCCAAAAGGAGTGTGGGCTTAGCTGCTAAGTTTTCCTTAATAAAACCGATGTAATTAAATACAGAAGAAACGGTTCACTTTGTGAATTTTGAATGTCTCTTTGAGCACATGACACCTACTTTATAAAATAAAAGTCACGAACAAATTTTTCGGAAAGTGATAAAGTGCCTGGAACGAAGAGAGGTCTGAAAAGAACAGCTTCTCCTACATTACATCTTCAAGTAATTAATAATTTTGATTACATATGTAAACCAGGTATGTACATGCACTGTGTGAATGATCAGGATTAAATGATTCGAACATTTGGTGTTCTAAAAACTTTCACAGTATTTTCCGTTTGCACAATTTTTTGAAAAATTTACCTTGCATAAACATCTTGAAATTCAATTCTTTTTTTTAGGTATGGCTTCGAAAAATGTTCGAAGTGGTCCTGGAACTCATGAAGTGAGTAGAGACATTGCTAATTGTAAATATACATGGTACATCGGTAATACCGATTATTTTTAAAGTACTAACAACTGTTATTTTTATGTATTGTATTAAGAAAATACACATTTCAAAAATAAAATCAGGTTGAGCCTCAGTTTACTTAAAATATCTTGTATATAATTTGAATATTTAATTCAAATTTAGCTCTACAGTGTAAGAGGGAACTCCAAAGATGGCGCTAGGTATTCTATATTTTCAAAGGGTTCTGTAACAATTCGTATAGATTCTATAAAAAAGTTCTGGGTATATCCCAGAGATGGCGCTACAAACTTACTGACAAACCTTAGAATTACAGATTCCCTTATAAAATAGATGTTATGTGTCTGAATATTGGAGGATTTATAAAAATAATTAAAGAAACATTTAATAGTCTATAGTCTTCAACTTCACAGCTTGGCAACTAGTCATACAGTCTGGTGCTACAGCACTTGCATATTGCATAAGCGTTTAACGATCGATATTGCGGCGCCATCTACCCACAATAGCTTTAAGTATCACTTCGAAGTCTAGTTTCTTTTATTGTGTTCGAGTTTACTAATATAGATGGCAGCACTAACATTGTGGTGGCTTTCTCTAATGACGACAATCTTAGTAAAGGCAAATAGAGGTATAGTTAGTTTTCTTCTCTTCTTCTTGTCTATTCTTCTCAGAGACGCATTTATATATACAGGGTGACTTTGAAGTTGAGTCATTAATTTTCAGATAATGATTGTAGAAGGAAGATAAACCAAAATATGTGTGTAAAGATAAAAAAAAAAATAAAAAAAAAAATTTACCTTGTTTTATAAAGTATCCTCCCGACAAGTATTTCAGTGCGGACCTGTATTTGATCGTGAGGTCTTGAAGCACCGGCATGCCGTCCCCTGTGAGGTCTTAAGTCACCTGATTCACGAGCCCGTTGTACTACATTAACAAAGGCACGAGGGGTTGGTTGCACTCGATTGGGAAACCGATCCGCATAAACATGTGCCATTTTTTATTTCGTTTGAGCCACGCAACAGACACCACCATTCACTCACGCGTTACCGACTGACACTGACTGTATACAACTGAATAAAATAATTGTAAAAACATCTTTCCAAATTCTTTCGCTTTTTTGTTTCCGATGCGATGAACCAATAAGGCGGATTATATCCGTTGTTGCCAAACACGAGCACATAATATTATTGAGACAGGGCGGTACTCAAACTTCCAAAGGGCTATAACTTTGTTACTTTAATTTTACCAGAAAAATGGTAAAGGAAAAAAACATTTCTTTTGATCAGATCTACTCACTGTTAAAATAAATGACTCAACTTCGAAGTCACCCTGTATATATATATATATATATATATATAATATATATATAAACGAAAAGTAAGAAAATAATGGGCAAAATCCGCAAAAAGGATGAAAGTGGATTCGAGCAGAAAATAGGATAGGTAATCCGAGCGATACGTATTTCTGCTGGTTGGCTTCAGCAGGCTCGAAATGAATGTACATATGCAACTACAAAAGAAGATACATGTCCACACATGAGAAAATGCATGGAGCACGCACAGCAGAAGAAATATCCCAAGTACCAAAAGAGACAGGCACTCATCTCCGCCATCTTTATTCCTACAGCTATTGACAGTTATGCGAGGCAAAATTGCGTATGAAAACACTGTGTTTCGTTTTTGGACTTGCATTACTTTGTGATGGCCCCTTCAAAAGAAACTGCAGTGTTGGGATGGAAATGTTTCTTTTGTTTAGTTGACTTTCACTACTCTATGATTTTGAACTTGACAGCTCGCACCCGCACGCCGCAAATTTATATTATTGTTTAACAGTGATTATTGATGAAAAAATATTACCATAATTTTAAAGCGTACAAACAGATGCACTTGAAATCTCAAGCACTTAACGAACGACTACGAGATACTTCATAATTTTAACCCTCTTCAATACAACTGCAACAGTGGGAAGAAGCTTTCCAAAATTAAAGGTAAGCCAGTTTTATGGGTAGACTTTTCTGAATGAATATGATTAGGAGGAATGAAAAAATGAGTCATTTTGCAACTTTTTTTATTCAGCTACATCAACTAAAACATTCATATAACTAAGCCTAACATATATACAAAAATAAAATGGATGATATGAGCTTCCCGTGATAGAGTTCGTACTTTTTGTGAAACTCTATCAAAAGAATTACAATAATAAATACAAGTGTAATGGAAGAAGATAACGTACTTGTAGAACACAACATTTTATCATGTTTATTAGTCTTGAAACATACTTTTCAATATTCATTCCTTAAATGTAAATCGTGGTAAAATCACGATAAAATAGTTAACTATTCCTTCTATAGATAATGGGAGCTTTTCAGATTCGTAAACTTATTAAGAATCACTTTGAGCTTCCATCATATTTAGAGAAATATTCCATCAATACTATAAATAATCAAGCACCATTTGTCTGTTTAACGCACTATTTTTTCAATAGAAGAAATTTATATAACCAAACCGAAAGTCTTCTTACAAAATATACACAAAATCATAAATGAAATGCAATTCTCAATTATTTAGTCCATAAAATTCAGTTCATTTTGTACACCTTTTGTAAGCACGTTCCCATCCAACAGGTTCCAAGTCAAAAAATATGTCGCGCAACATGTTGCAGACCTTGGTATTAATACAAAATAATCTGCATCATGTTGCAGATTTTTCAATCGCATGTTGCTGCAACATGTTGTAGGACTCCGTAGTAATAGAAACTCATCTTCTGGAACATCTTGCAGGACTTTGAAGTGACAGAAACTCATTTTCTGCAACATGTCGCAGACTTTGCCCATTACAACAATTGCCACGCAACATGTTTCTGTTACATGTTGCCAGACTTCATAGTAATAAAAACTCTTCTGCTTCAACATGTTGCAGGACTCCGTAGTAATAGAAACTTATCTTCTGCAACATGTTGCAGACCCGCGAACTGAGAGAAACTCATCTGCAGCAACATGTTGCGGGACTTCGTAGTAATAGAAACTCATCTTCTGTAACATGTTGCAGATCGTTTCCAAAACAAATGTCGCGCAACATATTGCTGCAACATGTTGCAGGACTCCGTAGTAACAGTATCTTATCTAATGCAACATCTTGCAGACTAGTTATGGCATGAGTTAGTAGTAATATAAATTCATTTTCTGTAGCATCTTGCAGATCGTTTCCATTACAACAAATTTCGCGCAACATGTTGCAGGACTCCGCAGTAACAGTATCTTATCTCCAGCAACATGTTGCAGGATTTTTAAGTTTTAGAAACTCATCTTGTGCAACATGTTGCAGACTGATTATTGCATGACTTCCTAGTAATAGAAATTCGTCTTCCGTAGCATGTTGCAGATCGTTTCCATTACAACAAAAATCGCGCAACATATTGCTGCAACATGTGGCAGGACTCCGTAGTAACAGTATCTTATCTCCTGCAACATGTTGCAGGACTTTTAAGTTATAAAAACTCATCTTCTGCAACATGTTGCAGACACCATTACAACTAAATCCACGCAACATGTTGCAAGATTTTGTGGTAATAGAAACTTATCTTCTGCAACATATTGTGCAGACTGTTTGTTGCATAACTATGTAGTAATACAAAGTCATCTTCTGTAGCATGTTTAAGATCGTTTACATTACAACAAATGTCGCGCAACATATTGCTGCAACATATTGCAGGACTCCGTTGTAAGAGTATCTTATCTCCTGCAACATGTTGCAGGATTTTCAAGTTACAGAAACTCATCTTCTCCAACATGTTGGAGATTGATTATTGCATGACTTCGTAGTAATAGAAATTCATCTTCCGTAGCATGTTGCAGATCGTTTCCATTACAACAAAAATCGCGTAACATATTGCTGCAACATGTTGCAGGACTCCGTAGTAACAGTATCTTATCACCTGCAACATGTTGCAGGACTTTTAAGTTATAGAAACTTATCTTCTGCAACATGTTGCAAACACTTACCATTACAACAAATCAACGCAACATCTTGCAAGATTTTATGGTAATAGAAACTTATCTTCTGCAACATATTGCAGACTGTTTGTTGCATAACTATGTAGTAATACAAAGTCATCTTCTGTAGCATGTTTCATATCGTTTACATTACAACAAATGTCGCGAAACATATTGCTGCAACATGTTGCAGGACTCCGTAGTAACAGTATCTTATCTCCTGCAACATGTTGCAGGACTTTCAAGTTATAGAAACTCATCTTCTGCAACATGTTGCAGACACTTACCATTACAACAAAATCAACGCAACATATTGCAAGATTTTGTGGTAATAGAAACTTAACTTCTGCAACATATTGCAGGCTGTTTGTTGCATAACTATGTAGTAATACAAAGTCATCATCTGTAGCATGTTTCAGATCGTTTACATTACAACAAATTTCGCGCAACATGTTGCAGGACTCCGTAGTAACAGTATCTTATCTCCTGCAACATGTTGCAGGATTTTTAAGTTTTAGAAACTCATCTTGTGCAACATGTTGCAGACTGATTATTGCATGACTTCGTAGTAATAGAAATTCGTCTTCCATAGCATGTTGCAGATCGTTTCCATTACAACAAAAATCGCGCAACATATTGCTGCAACATGTTGCAGGACTCCGTAGTAACAGTATCTTATCTCCTGCAACATGTTGCAGGACTTCTAAGTTATAGAAACTCATCTTCTGCAACATGTTGCAGACAGTTACCATTACAACAAAATCAACGCAACATGTTGCAAGATTTTGTGGTAATAGAAACTTATCTTCTGCAACATATTGCAGGCTGTTTGTTGCATAACTATGTAGTAATACAAAATCATATTCTGTAGCATGTTTCAGATCGTTTACATTACAACAAATGTCGCGCAACATATAGCTGCTACATGTTGCAGGACTCGGTAGTAACAGTATCTTATCTCCTGCAACATGTTGCGGGACTTTTGAGTTATAGAAACTCATCTTCTGCAACATGTTGCAGACGGATTATTGCATAATAGAAATTCATCTTATGTAGCATGTTGCAGATCGTTTCCACTACAACAAATGTTGCGCAACATATTGCTGCAAATTGTTGCAGGACTCCGTAGTAACAGTATCTTATCTCATGCAACATGTTGCAGGACTTTTAAGTTACAGAAACTCATCTCCTGCTACACGTTCCAGATAATTTCCATTACATCAAATGTCGCGCAACGTGTTGCAAGATAAATCTGTCGTAATGGTAACGTAATTTAGCGTGCAAAAGTCCTGGGAACATGTTGCAATTTGTTACGACTAAAGACACATGTGTGTCGCATTTTTATCCCCGGCACTTATGGCGCAACATGTTTTCATTTCAACAAACGTGTTCCAGCACATGACAAGCAACATGTCGCGGGACAAAGTAATGATGAAAACGTACTTTAAAGTTACATGTCAAACGCTAAAGAGTGGTGCTTAATGATTTTTCTAATGAATGTATGTACATATTGGCTAGTAATACATTTTGATGATCGAATATTTGTAAATTATTTGCATGTCTAGAACAAATGGTTAATAAATAACGCGTGATAGCTCTGAAATCCTAATATTTATTCATATTCTCAAATTAATATAATATTTAATATATTTGGCAAATATTCCATCTTCTTAAGTTCACCTCACCTTTCAAATTTGTCATTCCTAATCCTAACTATGATAGTGGCCTTCTCAATAGTCTTCGTTCTTTCGTTTGTTTCCGTTCCTTAAGCGCTGGCATTCACCAACGGTGCGTTGAATACTTTGTTGCTGTCAAAAGCCAGCTGAAACAACAAGGAAATCATAAGTGGAAAGTTGCACCGCATCAAAATTTTTAATAAAAAATAGCGACTATGCACTTCACACGCAAAGTTCTTATCAATTTATACAGAATTATCTACTCCCAAATTTTTAGCTGAGTTAAATTCCATCAATATTTGTATCACTTCAAGTTGAAGGTAAAAAGCTAAAAAATAAAATGAGCTGAAATTCTCTAAAAGAACTCGGCGAACCTACCTGATCTGCAACATCGTCATCGTCCTCGTCCATCTCCTCATCATCGTCGCTTTGCGCGATCTCCAATGGCACTCCGGCTGCGAGCAACACCCTTTTAACCTCCTGGCTCAATTGCCCCGCCCTAGCCGCTTCCTCTAGCGCTGATAGGCCGGCGTATGACTCCGCCTCCCGGTTAGCTCCGCCCTTGAGCAGCAGCTCGGCCATGATTGGCTTCTGCAGATGCGCGGCGTAGTGGAGGGGAGACATGCCGCTGAAACCGTCGCGGGCGTTCGGGTTGCAGCCGCGTTCGAGCAGAAGACGGGCTGACGTCAGCGATTCTTGGGCGACGGCTACGTGCAGGCAGGTCTGACCTGGAAGAGACATTTGAGGTTAGCCCTGCTAATGAAAGCTGAATGAATCGTTTTAAAAACCATGCTTTTGTTATTGAAAATACTTCATTAACGGTAGGTACATATTCTGGGTATACAGTCAATACATTCCTTCCCTTTCAAATAATACCTCATAATCATTAATTAAGATATTCTATCAAAACATAGCCATCCTAATGGTATATTGCCGCGTCCAAAAAATTATCCGAGATGAAATGAGATACCGTAGAGATCTAAGAGAATCTGTCACAGCTGTTTCTCTATTTACTATATACACTTTGAAAAGGTTTGTGTCTCATATACCTAAGGCGCTGTTTCGTGATTTTTTTTTGCTTAAAAAAGTGCATAAATTTGGATTGTCTGAGGGCTTGATATTTTTACGTTCATATTTATCTGATCGCGTTCAATGTGAGCAATATAACGGCTTCAAATCAGAATCATACACGCCAACAACGGGAGTGCCACAAGGTACTAACTTGGGACCCCTACTATTTTTAATGTTTGTTAATGATATGAAAATAGGAAACTAAAAGACCTGAAAATTGACTCAGTAATCCGTGGACAAGACAGCTTAGACCTTTTGCAGGAAAATTTAGACAACATTCTTGACTGGTGCCAGAATAATGATCTGATGCTTGATCCCAGCAAGTGTAAAGTAATGTCCACTGCCAGGAGTCAGAATATCATACTACATGATGATACACACTGGACAATCACAAGTTTAACAGAGTTCAGGAAGCAAAGGTCTTAAGCATTACTATCACTTCAAATCTGTGATTTTCAACACACTTAAATCAATTAATTAAATCAGGCTTTCATTATTAGACAATCTCTTACTAACAAGGTTAAAGTTACTATACTTCATTTCAGTTTACTTGAAATGGTTGTATCATCTGGTATCCTTTATATGTTATGTATATATCTAAAGTCGAGAAAATTCAAACGTAATGCTATCCCTTTTTGGACGCTGAAATACAGTATATGGTGGTTATCTGCTAGTCAGTCAATGGCAGTAAATCTTATTGAGATTTACTATTTTTATGAACTATTTTGCTACAGCGCGTAGATACGTAAATAAAACACCCTGAGTCGTTTATCCCAACATATTTATTTACAAATAGGTCTGATTCACCCCGGAATAATTATTTTCCCGGCTATTTTCGTTCGAAATTCTCGATAAATGTAGCTCTTCTGCGGCTAGCACCAGTCCGAAAATACACTTTGGTTTATTTTTGAGTCCGTAAGAATGCGGGTACGTTGCCAATAACTCATGATTTTGCAGCGAGTATAAAGGAATTCTTATTTTTGTCGGAACACTACGTTTTCGATTTAGAATTTATCACATGACGGTATGAGACATCGTACGATTTATAAATAATTTTATGTGCGAAGTACAGTGGCATTGATGAGAGGGATCAAGATCAATCCCCACAATCATAGAGGCAGAATATAACTAGAAATATAGACAGGATAACACGGTTTAAGCGTGGGGCTCGACAACAAATGTCACCAATGGAGGCCGATTTTTATGAAAATGTCCACAACCTGCAAATCTCGCCACTAGGTGTGAAAATGTTTCACTAAAGCAGGTTATGGCCGCTGAAATGCTACACGAGAGCACCTGTAGTATCAAGCCACGTTCAGCTCTCGTATTTAATGTCCACGGAAATTACAAAAAATTATGACAACGACAATTCTATAACGAAACAATTCCCGTTCCGTGGCCATACCTTACGTTGACCATAACGCACGGCCTCTATTGTCGAACAGAAACATCAACAACATCCTCGCAATGACCTTTGAAGAAATGGAGATCCTTCATCACAGAACCATTAGAACAAGAGAGGTGTTTTGCGATAAAAATAAAATTCAATATTTTTACGCACTGTTATAAAGTTATTATTCTAAATAAGAAAAATGTTGTATTAACCTACTTTATCAAGATATAGCTAATTTCTGGTCGTAACAGGTATAAGATACAAGACGATGATAATAGAAACGATAAATGTGAAAAAGTACGACCGTCTACCATTTTTTTATTTTGTTACAAGGGCAGTACGTAAACATTTCGACATGTGCAACAACGTTAGGGTAACATGAAAGCCACTTGGTGGTGGAACGATACCGAGTTATCATCCTTTGGCAAGAGATAAGGGGCCATGACTGAAACATGGGATCGTCACACAGACAGATTAGGAGTCGTCACACAGTTTGTAGCATACCTTCTCGTGTTTAGTATCATGATCATTGAGCAACAAATATTAAATATTTTTTCCAAAACTGTAGGAAAATGTCTATGAATAACAATAGTAGATACAATTTACATTACCTACTGTCAACAGGTCTGTACATTGCACAATATTATTTGTCCTTGAAATATATCGGAAAATCCTATCACAAGAGGAAAACAGATGATTTTAATGCTAACATATCATTACAGTACATTCTGTTTTTCATTGAAACGTCGCCATTCACATTTTGCAATTGATAGATTGTCGTTGGAAAAAAATCGCGAGGTTAATTCACCATAAGTCAATATAATTTGTCTTCTAACGAGATGAAACATGAACTTCCTATTTCAGACCGGTTCTCCAGAATAACCGTACAGCCTAAGAATCAACTAAACTTTTATAATATTGTGTGATACAAAATGGAATCCCTGTATCTCCATGTATACGCCATCAACATGCCAAGAAAATATATCAGAACGTACTGCCGTCTGAGATTTGAACAAGGCTGTTTTCCAGCAGTCTTAGCTAGAATTGGTATTATTGATACAGACTCTTGATCACATATTTTTTTAATGTCAGAAAAAGATACTCGACAGCGGGCACACTTCCGTGAAAAAATACGAAGATATGCCTCATCTATATATTCAATATGGTTGACAATTTTGATGCTAAAGTGATGCGAAGAATTATCAATTTTCTGAAAGGGACAAACGTCAGAATTTAGCTGTTGTTTCCTAATTTAGCTGTTGGTTCCTCGTGTTTATTCCTATGTGTTATAACCATCTCTACCGTGGCTTGTGTTGTGTGTACGAAATGTCATGATAGTCCTCTTGGCGATAAGCTTTGTGTCTCCGCTTCATCCTCCTCGCTCAGCTTCTATCTTTGTTTCACCGTCGTTAAGTTTTTATACATATACAAACAACCATTACACTGGACAACAAATTTTAGTTTTTTAATTGTATCTTGTGGGAAAAGTGTACTTCTTTGTTCATTTTGGGGCGCTGAATCCAAAAATGACAATGAAATAAAAAAAGTAACAAGATTCATATACTTATAAGAATCACTATATGCGCTGTATTTTTGCTGTTCTTTTATGGATCGTTTCTGGAGCATCTCTAGCAAGAGTCCAACAGTAGTCTGCAAGCATGGAAGAATTCCACTTTCCCTGGTACCTTTTTTCCATTGTTGAAATATCCTGATGAAAACGTTCGCCGTGCTCATCACTTACGGCTCCGCAATTGTCAGGAAAAAGTCCAGGTGTGAGTGTAGGAAATATATCTTAAGAGACATATTACAGCCCATCTTTTGATACGATGACAGCATATTTTTGACAAGGGTTTTATAGTTATCAGCTTTTCTATTTCCCAAGAAATTAGTGACCACCAGACGGAAATCATTCCAAGCAGTTTTTTCAATACCTGTTAAAGTGTTTTCAAACTGTGTATCTTTCAAAATATTTCGTATCTGTGGCCCAACAAAAATACCTTCTTTAACCTTTGCCTCACTTAGTCTTGTAAATTTCTGACGCAGGTATTGAAAAGCTGACCCATCTCTATCTAATGCCTTGACAAAGTTTTTCATTAGGCCCAACTTGATATGCAGTGGTGGTAATAAATTTTTTTTCGAATCTACTAATGGCATATGCTGTACATTTTTTTGACCTGGCTCTAGGAATTGACGAACAGGCCAGTTTTGTCTGGTGTAATGAAGTCCCATTCACACAAAAAACACCAAAACTTTGTGTAGCCTAGCTGCAGCCCAAGTAAAAGTGCAACAACTTTCAAATCGCCACAAATATGCCATTGGTGCTCATCGTATTTTATGCATGTCAATAGGTACTTCATGTTGTCATATGATTCTTTCATGTGAACTGCATACCCTACAGGAAGAGATGGTAAAATATTTCCAATATGCAATAACACTGCCTTTAAACTCAATGTTGAACTGTCTATAAACAATCTCCATTCTTCTGGGTTATAGTTTATATTTAAAGCCGCCAGTAAGCCATTAATGTTACTGCAGAAAACCAAGTTATTCTCCATATTGAAAAATGGTTCTAAGTCTTTGTGGCGTTTACGAAAAACACATACCGAAACATCGTCTTCTAGCAAGTTCCACTGCTGCAGTCTTGATCCAAGTAACTCTGCCTTACATTTTGGAAGTTCTAAATCTCTTACAAGATCATTTAATTCTGACTGTTATTTTGTGCGGTTGGTGGCATGACGTGCTCGGTATAAAATCAGGATCTCTTGACGTTGATGGCATATCTTCTTCCTGACGAATCACTCGATCGCCATGATCTGATTCGTTTTCTGATTCGCAAGTGTAGGATTCTGGGGGTTTTGTAATAGGATTTTCGTCACTGTGAGGCACAGGTCTCATCGGAGATGGTATGTTTGGGACAGCAAAGCGCATAGACCGTTTTTTGCCATTTAACCAGCTCCTCAGACTTGAAGCACATGTATTACAGCAGATGTGGGGTGCCCACTGTTTGTCTTGATCACCTAGTTTACAACCGAAATAAAGCTGATATGCCTTTGTTATTAGTGGAGTAATAGACCGTCTCTGAGACGCAAAAGTCACATCACCACACACGTAACAAAACTGATCTGGATTGTTTACACACTTTCGAGAAATCTTGCATGAACACTGTCAGCCAACTGAGGAAAAAATGGCTAATATAAAAAATATAATGTACACGTATGTATAACGTAACACAATCATGCCGATTACATCATCTTTCCTTGCTGA